AGGTGGCTGAAAGCCCCCATCCCATCCTGCCAGATAGATGGATGGGTAGCAGGGAGCATCCCAGCGGCATTCGTCACAGAAATAGGGATTTGGACTCAGTAGAGACTCTAAGCTTCATGGTGGCCCTGGGGACGGAAGGACCCCTGGTATTAGGGTGGCTTGGCTAAAAAAAGTGGAATCCTAAGGTAAACTGGAGAAGGGGACTGCTAAAAATTCGAACAAGTCCTCCCCAGGAGCAAGAGAGAATTCAGAAGGTAACCTTCCCACGGTGGGAAATAGGAGCAGTAGCGCAGGGACAGGAAAAGGACCTCCCCTTGTCCCCAAAGAGTATCAGGAATTTGAGAGAGATATTCAGTGAAAAGCTGGTGGATGAGCTACCCGCTCACAGTCAAGAGGCTACAGAGATCCTACCTGGGATTAAATTGTCCAAGCTGAAGCTGTGTTCAATAACCCCGAGAGAGGTAGATGAATTGTGGGGGTTCATTGACAAAAACCTTGCCCGTGGGTTCATTCAACCGGCCCAACCACGGATAGTAAGCAGCCCCTTTGTGGAAAGGAGGGTGGGACACTTTGCCTGTGCATGGATTACAGAGGGCTAAATGCTGTTTGCCTGGGAAACGCCTGCGCCCTCCTCCTGAGCAAGGATGCAGAGGCGGCAAGTATCAGCGGCTCTCCGTAATATAGGTAGCCGTCGACTTAGAACAGTTCATTTAGTGACCTTTCAATGTGACAATGGCACTGAAAAAGTGACTTCTGACTGTTTTTCACACTTATGACTGTGGCAGCAGCCCCATGATCATGGGATTGACATTTATGATGCTTTCAGTGTCCTAGAATCATGTTCTCCCCGTCTGACAAACAAAGTCAATGAGGAAATAAAAATCACTTAACAACCGTGTTGCTAATTTAAGAACCACATTGATTCACTTAATGAATGTGGCAAGAAAAGTCACAAAATGGGATAAATTTCTCACTTAATATAAATTTTGGGCTCAATTGTGAGCATAAGTTGAGGACTACTTGTACAGGCTTTAGTGGGGAAACACATGCTCTGACAATGTGTCAGGACATTAACCATATTTCTTAGCCAAAGTTAAATGCACCTTCTGTTGCATTGGCCTTGGTGAAACATTTCTATGCTTAACCTTGTTCCAGTGAGAAATTCAGAAGAGGCACTATCAACTAGCACTAGCACTTAAGACTTATATGCCGAGTTACAGTGCTTTCCAGCCCTCTCTAAGCGATTTACAGAGTCAGTCTCTTCTTACCCCCAAACAATCTGGCTTCTCATTTTTACCCACTTTGGAAGGAGGGAAGGCTGAGTCAACCTTGAGCCTGGTGAGATTCAAACTGCCAAATGGTACGCAGGCAGCTGAAGTAGCCAGCAGTTCTGCATTCTAATCACTGCACCACCACTACCTGGGCTTTTGCCGGCACCCAGGATTGGTGTGTGTGTGTGTATCATGCAATCAAGCCTATTGGATAATGCAAGAGCAATCCCACCCCCCAAAAGTATTAGAATTTTTTAGATCGGTAGTGGGTAAAATACTGGGTGTATCTGGAAAGTCAGCAGCCCAGGTTTGAGATCCGAGCGTCACAAAACAGGCTGAATTCCCGTTACTTGACGTGGCTCCTGTCAAACTAGCAGTTCAAACACAAGCAAATGTGAGTAAATAGGTACCACTCTGGTGGGAAGGTAACAGCGCTCTGTGACATGTTGATCAAGTGACCACAGAAATGTCTTTGGACAGTGCTGGCTCAATGACCTTGGAGCACCACACCCTGAAGCTGACAATGACCAGCGGAGTAAAATTCGCAGGGACTCCTAACCCGCATTTTAAAAACCTGCAATACCTTCCTAAAGTACATTTCTCTATCGCTGGTAGAACCCAAGATCTCTTAAGAGCATCAGGCAGAGAATATCCACTATAAGTGTTTCAAGGGGGCACCTGGAAAAGAAAAAAACATTAACAGACTTCAAAATTACTGAAAAGCTCTCCAGGAGCCACAGACCCAATAGAAATATAGTGCTAATGCATCCGGTGATACAGCTTTGAATTCTGGTTTAACACGGTATGTTAATGATCTGCTTTGGGGAATAAAAAGTTTGTTTTTGTTTTTAAAGTGAGGCTCAAGTCAGGAAATTGTTTTATGTGCTGTTTCCTAATCTTCACAGGAGATTTGAGACTAATTTCTAGGTAAGGAAGGCAGGAAAAATCAATGGCAAAACTGAGCTTAACAATGTCATAATTCTTGTTCAGAGTTGTGACCCAAGTTATGCTTGATTTTTTATAAAAAAAATATCCTGATTAGGGGAATAGAATGGATGAGTTAATCTCTAGCTAAAACTCAAAATATTTAGGGCCATATTTGCCAATACTAATTTCAGCAAGAATGTTTAACATCCCCAGCAGTGTTTTCAGCATCGAGTGCCAAAATGAGACACGGGTGGGAAAGGGGTGCTGCTGTGCCTGAGAAGCCTTGGTGGGACTGCCAAAGGCATCTAGCTGGGTCACCACAGAAGCAGGCCGGGGGGAGGGGGGTCCTGATTCAACAAGGAAGTTCCTATTTGCTGTGCCAGAGAGGGCATCAGCAGTACCAAAGCAGTACAGTGAGCATGGATGTATTTTGGTCACTTTATTAAATGAGATATTAAATATTTTAAGTTTCAACTACCAAACAGCACTTCGAATGGTGAAAACACAGATAGCATACTGTCTTACTTGAATGCTTTTCTTTAAAAACAATTTCCAGTCCATAATATATATTTTACAAAACAGCCTTATAGGAAGAAGTGACATCTTTTCTACAGTACTTTTATGATATTTAATACATAACTGAAAAAGCCATCTAAACAGAAATGAAGGCCAAGTTTTCACAGCTGTATGATTCAGCAGCCAAAGCTGGTCAAGGAACTGAAACGTTACTATACAACTGGGACAAAAACATGTACAGGATCACAATACTAAGCAAAAATGCTTTACATCCAAAGGAATAAACAGGTTACAAAATGTGGAGAATTTAGCAGGCAAAACTGTATTACAAGCAACATTTTATTCATCATCTTATATAAGCCATTTCAACTAGAGAAAACATCTAAAACAAATATAAAAATGAGTTTTTGTTTACCGTCTTTAAATATTGATTAAAGCTTGATGTTATACTCAAAAGCACATTATTATGCAGCTATAATGTTGTGAGAAATATGTAAGTGGTCCAAGTCTCCAAGACAGCCTCATCCACATCAGATTTCTTCTTGTGGGAAAAATAATGGGATTTTAAAATGTTCCTAAGTTTCACATTAAGTCTCTAGAAATTCCCAGCTCAGAAAATGTAGGAATGTTCTGGACAGATATATTTGCTTTCAAACAATTGTCTCAGAAAGTCTGTATTTCATTTCTTTTGAAGCAAGCACAAATTTTGGAGCGTTTCCTTTTTTACCAATTTAAAGTAATGCAATAAATCAACTCCACAAAATGAAATTGGGCTGAAGATTCACCCCACTACCTCACTGTGGAAAGGAGAACTAAAATTAACTCACAATTATTATTTTTCCTGTGAAATAGATGTTCCAATCGCCAATTAAGAAGCATCTAGTTAAAAATAAAAATGTTGTCCAAAATCTGTGCTGTCCAGATTCTAAGATTCAGGTAAGAGAAGAAAAAGGCATTGTTCCTCAAAAATCATACAGAAAGCCAAAAATTTAGACTTCCAAAAATATTAGCAGTTCTCACTTTTCATGGTCTGTAGTCAATTCTTCCATCTGTACATTTTCTTCTTCATGACTCCAGTAGCACAAACACACCTGTCGTTTTATTTATCATGCCCGCATTCCAGAAGTTCTTCCGCTTGAAAAACTCAGATGGACTAATGCATGAAAAAAGCCTTATGTTGTCAATACAGAAAATGGATGACAATTCCATTTTTATGCTGAAAAGTAGCTGTTGGTGGTGTAATTAATCAGTCGTTCTTTTGTTTTTTTCCTCCCATAGGGTTGAAATAAAAAAACAACCACAATGTATTTTTTTTCTCCTTCACCTTCATATTCTTAAAAGAATGAAAACTAGGAAAGAAATGCGAGATAACCAGAGATACGGATCTATAAAAGCAGGAATTATTTCCCAGCTGTGGCAGCGCTGCAGGTGGCAAGAGGCCCTCCCTCCATTCTCAGAGGGCGATGGCTCCGCCAGTTCAAAAGGCAGGCTGGAGCTGGCCTCCCTCCAAAAGGGCTGCCATCCTGCTTTAAGCTCCACCGAGGTCCCGGGAATTCAGCCCGCTTCCTCGCTCATCCTACTGCCGGCAACAGGACGAGACACCAGCACCAGGATAAAGGCGTCGATAGAAATGTGCTTTGCCTCAGAATCAGTGCAAGAGGAAAATACACGGATGATGGACCAAAAGGGACTGGATGTTCTCCCACCGCAGCCCCCCGTCCAGAGGAAACAGAAGTGGCAGGAGGCCGGAGAAAAGAGGCTCTGCTCAGGCCGTAACTTAAGGCTACCGACAGTTTCCAGAAAACTGTCGTTCAGACGTTTCAGAGTGGTAGTCTCTTTTAAAATATTGCACTGTCTCTAGATCCCCTTCAGTTCCTATGCTTTACTTTTCCATCGCGAGCGATGAAGAAGAGTAGAACAGGCTTGTGGGTCGGTCGTGTGGGCCGTGTGGGAAGAAATACAAAAGAATCAATTTTAACCAAGAACTCAGCTGGGAACGTGGAGGGCTGGGGACCGAAATATACAGACCTGGGGGAGGCTCTCCAGGTGTCCGGCAGCTGTTTTCAGGGCTATTAACAGCAAGCATGGCAGTTGGGAGAGGAAGCCTGCAAAGCCCCTTCGGGTTACGGAAGGAAGAGGCTGTTTTCACTGAAAACAACGCAGCATCTCCTGTGCTCGACACGCGGAAGAAGAAGATTCTAGCCAACGCCACCCTGGACAGCGGTTGGGACAGGGCAGCACATCGTATCAAAACAAGAGGGAAATCATAAAATAGAAGGTGTGAAGAAGGGGAGGGAAACTATTTATACAGGTGAGTTCTGTTAAGCCATTGATTCCTAAAAAAATAAAAAATAAAAAGTTGTCTCTCTCTCTCTCTGATTTTACCAGTCCTCCAAGTGGCCATTGCAGGATCACATCGGCTTCCCTTGGGAGGGTCCTGGGCTTTTGCCACTCATGGGGGGAGGCGCTCGCTGCAGGGGCGGGGGGTGCAGGGCCCCAGCCCCAGCCTGGTACATCCCCCGGATGTCGATCTGCTGGAAGTTGGAGGGGTTCAGCATCAAGCCCGGGGGCTTGGACATCATCAGCTGGCTCAGGGCTGCCTGCTGAGCCTGCTGGTAGACGAGCTGCTGCTGCGGCGGGAGCTGCTGCTGCTGCTGGCTGAATTGCTGCTGCAGCCGCCGGTTCATCAGGATCCTCTGGACGCAGCTGATGAGCTGTGGGAGGGAAGGGCAGCCATTAGCAGGCCGGGACCGAGTGTGCCCCCCCTGGCCGAGTGTGCCCCCTCCCCCCCCCCGCAACCAGGCAAACCAGGCAGGGAGCACAACCAGGTGACCTATTTCTACTTTATTGTACAGCTTCATTAACAGAAGCTTGCACACTTGAAAGCAGAAACTTCTCGCCACCACTTTTAACGGTTTAAATCAGGGGTGTCAAACTCAAGGCCTGTGGGACGCATCCATCCCACGGGGTGCTTAGATTTGTCCCGCGGCACCACCCTGGAAAACAGTGAGGGACCAGCCTGCAGTCTGCCAGTGAAAATGGGCTCCCGAGCTCCGTTTCTGGCTGCTTCGGCCTCCTGCAACCCTCTGTCAGCGAGAGGCACGCAGCCCTCCCGAGCTGTTTTCGCTGGCAGAGGGTTGCAGGAGGCCGAGGCAGCTGGAAACGGAGCTCGGGAGCCCATGAGTGACATCGAGCTCTGGCCATCCCCACCCCGGCCCCCTGAGGTCAAACACAACCCTGATGCAGCCCTCAATGAAATCAAGTTTGACACCCCTGATCTAAATCAACTAGGACAAGAAGTTTCTTCCTCTAGCCCTTAAGCCACCGGGGGCTCCCGCCTCACTTCTCTGTTTGTTTCCTAAGTAGCATTTCGTCCCCTCGTCCCTCAAGGCCATTCTCACATACCAGGACACCCAGGGATATACTCGATATTTGCCACACTGCCATCACCATTAACAACATGGCAGCATTTGCAAGCTGGTGACTGGAGTGGCTGCTAGGCGATCCTGTTTCGGACCATGGTTTTCTCATGACTTGCCAGTGGCATTTCTCTGAGTTGCCAGAGGAATGGGCATTCTCAAGTTTCTGTCAGCTGCCACCTTATGCTTGCTATGCTTTGCTGTTGCACAGTGACAGCTGTGGGGAAGGGCGGGGGGACGAGGAGGGAGGTGCTTGGGGAATCAGAAGTAGACTCTGTACCTCCTTGAGACACTGCTCCAAAGTCACCCAGCTGGGAGGAGGAGGGAGCTGTATACAAGCTGCATTTGGACTGACCCTCATGAAGGCTTCCTGCATGGACTTGATTGGTTTCAGTGGGGTGGGCAGCGAGGGAGAGTTGGAGGGGGATTTTGGCATGTAATTCTCAGTTCTGGCTATGCAATAGTCTGGTGCACCTGACCGCTAGCACAACTATACCTTTCTCAACCAATGGAGCCAAGAATGGTTTCTATTTATAGAGGTTTTAGATTGTGGCCAGTCTGAGAGTTTCACAAAATGTCTCATCAGAAATGTTCAAGCGCTACCCTGTAATCTTGCAATCCTTTAACTCCCCTGCATTTTATTATGTATTAACGCCTTGAGAAGTGGCCCTTTGTAAGGGGTGAAGCCCCACTGAAGCATAGAAAAGTCTGACTCCCACACAGCTCCATTGTTGCCTTATTCTATTTTGAAAGCTGCTTCTAAAGACATGTGATTTTTACTCCACCTAAACTTACAAATTGGATTGGCTCTGAGGCATGGAAGGAAGGGAAATGCAAGTGCGCCTACCGATATCTTTACCTCCATCTGAAATAGAAGACCAGGGCCAAAAATGGCGCTGACTCCGGGCTGCAATAAAATGCAGTGAGAGGTTTAGGTGCTGCTGTTCCTAAGGAGCTCAAGAGGAGACTTCCTGAAAAATCCACCCAGGAACCTTATTGCATTATTACTCGAACATCACTACAGCTAGTCGGGTTTAGAGGCTAGGAAGTCTAGGACTAGAAATTGGGAGGCCCCGAGTTCTACTCTTGTCCCAGACACAAGCCGCCATCTCTCTCAGCCCTAAGGAGGAAGAGGAGCAGGAGGCCAGGGCGAGCCACTTCCCAAATCACACCCCACAAACCTCACTGGACCTGTCTGTGTGGTCACCAGGAATCAAGCATACTTGATGTCCCCCCGCCGCCAGTCCACCAAGGGAGAAGGGAAGGGGGGTAAAAGCAAATCCTTCCTATATTCCTCATTTTTCTTAATACGCTTTTTCCAGCTACCTGGAAAGGGAAACGAACGGTTTCACAGCCAGACTAGAACTTTACACCTTCGTTCCTCCATCCAAGCTTTGTCTGGGTGCTTCTAAATCACAACTTGGGGTGGAAGGGATACTACAAGGTCCATACAAACCCTAACCCTTTTTACACCCCTACATAAGCCACCAAGACTGAGGTTGTTTTTCTTTCTTTCTCACCATTTGCTGCTTGGTCAAGACATCGTTATAAATAGCCTCTCGGCGCTTCACATCCAGCTCTTGAGCTGCCTGGCGGCTCAGAGCCAAAGCCTGGACCTGGGTCTCCGTGAGGGTGAGGTTCTCCTTCCACTGCAAAAGAAAAGCATCACGGGGGCTTTCAGAGTCGTCCCCCCCTTCATGCCCCTCCTCTGTGAGAAGGGCCGATGGACTGACACGGACTCCCCCCAGTGCTCTTCAGAGGGAAGCCAGCCTGGGCCGGAGAAGCCGCAGCCCCTCCCACGCTCCCCACACACGGGCACTGGGGAGTCTCTCCAGTAGAAGCAGCCTGGAGTCAGCCATGAAATTGCAGAGAGGAACCGGAGCTGCTGCCAATTCTGCCTGCAGGCAAGGCCGGTGAGGAAGTCCTTGCCTCTCCAGGGATTTGCCAAGGAAGCCGAGAAGCAGCAGACTATCTGTGGCATCACCCTGGGCAGGAATTGCCCTCCTCCTGCCAGGCCTCAGGGCCTTCCCGCCCAGTCCCGTTGCAGAGTCAGGCAGCTGCTTCCCCCGGAGGACTGCTCTGCCAAGGCCCTGCGTTTCCCCACTTGAACAGGAGTTGCCGTGAGTGGGGAGCAGAGCAAGGAAGAGCCAGTTGCAAAAGGGTCGGCGCTACTGAAATTGGCTCAGGTTGGGCTTGAAGGCTCACGAGGAAACGTGCCTCAATTGTCCCGTTCTTCTATGAAGCCAGCCATGTGTAGAGGAGCCTTCCTTCCACACACCATCAATTGACCAAGAGAGCCTGATGCCATCCACAAAGAGATTGCACAAAAACTGAGCATCATCTGGTCAGGAGAAGTTATACCTTCACATCTGCTTTCATCATTGAGGCAACTCCCAGCTGAATGTATCTGAGCACAGACTTTATTCTGGAGATTCCAAATAAACTGATTGGTCGTTATTTAATGAAAATCAGTGACATTTTTGGACAATTACCTAATTTGGACAACTCCAAACAGTTGATCTCGGCCAAAATTTAAATCTTTTCCACTGTATAAACAACCCCTCCTTCTCCTCATTAGATTTTTACCCTGTGTTTTTATATAACATTACACTGCAAAAGAAATATGTCTCTTTTTAAAAGGCCCATTTAAAAAAAATCAAAGCTTTGACTATAAAATCAGACAAAAGAAGAAACAATTTGTCACCAAAAGTTTGAACATGACACGACAATTTGAAAGCAGTATACAACTTCAGAACAAAAATGGATGATCACATTTTCTACCACACTTACTATAGAGGAAATAATGTCTTCAAGGGGTTGAATTCTTATTCCAGTAACGTTGTTCGTTGCTTCCACAACTTTTTCCCTGCCTTGATTAATGAGGTCCTGGAAGGAATTTTGGAAGTCATCAAAACTGGTTGAACTTGAGGTGTTCTCAAAGATAATGAATTTTTGTATCCATACTGCCCACATGCATGTGTACATGTGCTTTTATATGTCTAAATCATGCAAACACAGGGTCCCATTTCAAACCATGCCATGGGGCTCCAGACAGGAAACAATTCATGAAGACAGATATAAAAACATAAAACATTTTCACCTAGGAGCAGCTTTGCTTCACTTCGCAATCAACATGGAATCAGCAGCTTTTATATCCAAACTAATTTTCCTGAAAGCAATTAAGTGCTCATGATTTGGTCTTTAACAATGCAACTCAGTGTACAAAAGGGTAATACTTTTGGTGTGAAACAACAGTAAGCCTGAACAAAAGATATAAGGTATGGAATTCTTTTAAAAATGCTGTTATCTACATTTCATCAAGTCCAGATTTTTTAAAAAAATGCTCACTGCAAAATGTAGAGACTTGGTGACGAGAGCATCTCACCTCACACGATTGTTGTGGGGGGAAACGGGAAGGAAGAGGACTATGGAGGCCACAACTTGAACTTCAAAATGAAAGGCAGAATGTAACGCTCAAAAAACCAGATCCGATACAGCCTCTGATCTTGCCACCTACCTCCAATTGCTGGTTGCTCATCGCAGACAAGGCCGCCAAGTTGAAAGGAATATATGGAGTCTGAGATGTGAAATTGGGTGGGAACATGTTTGGCCCCGCTGGCATGTTGATGCGCATTGTCAGCCCCTAAAAAAAAACAGAGTGGCACTTTTGACTATCAAGCTGAGAGTTTGGCTACTGAGAAATCATTGAAACCATTTCAGTGTCAAAGTGATACCAGGGACTGGCACAAGAGAGTGGAAATTGGTACATTTATTTTGCCTGAAAACATGTATGCCCTAGCCTAAATTCAGCTGATGGTTAGCATGGCTTATCCAAGCCTTGGGGTTCTTAAAGAAGTATAAGCAACATTTCATTAATAAACAGAACTGATTTCTCAAGCTGGAAGGAGCTCCAATGTCGTCATAAATGAAGAAAAACGCTGTCGCTCTTGATCTGGAGGAATTCTACGACAAACAGATCTCTACCCTAATTTGGGAAAGCCAAACAAAAATGCTAATAGCATCAAAACAAAACAAAGGGCAGAAATATGTAGTTGGCTTAAATGTCACCCGGCAGTTTCTAAAGACCCCTTCCTGACGCTTCCACTGCAACTATGAGCTGGCACTGATGTTCTGCAATGACACCTGACAGCATCCCAGCCCTGAGAAAGAAGCCAACAGAACAGCGTGCATTGATCAACGATAGGAAAGTCTGCTCAGGGCCCAATTCCAACCTGGAATTTGCAATTTGCAACTAAAATGAGGAAACGCCATTGGCCTCAAAAAAAGGCCTCTGCTCAAGCCCAGGAGTGCAGTCATCCTCAGCTGAATAGCTTCGGGGGGCTCCGGAGCCTGAGGGCCAAACCAAAATGGAGGGGATTCGGGGGGGGGGGCAGAACAGCTGGATGAACAGAAGAGACTAGAAGAAGCTGCTGCAACATAGGAATGCAGCTGAACAGCTGGAAGGGAAAGGAAAGCCAGGGGAAGGCAAGAATTCCTCCCAATCCAGGCCCATCTCAGAATAACCAAGTCGGAAGGGACCCTGGAGGCAGTCTAGCCCAACCCCCTCCTCAAGCAGGGAAGCCTAGAAGACCAGGGGTGGCGGAGGGCCCAAACTGCAACCCAAAACCCACTTATTTATCGCAAAGTGCCAACACGGCAATTTAACCTGAATACTGAGGTTGCAGAGTTCAACTAATTGTTCTAAGGAGAACGTGGTAAATGCATTTTTTATGCCCCTTCATTTTTTTCTGCTTTTGAAATATTACGTTTAGCAACAATAAAAAAAGAAAAACTTCCGTAATATCATTTCTCTCTTTCCCTCCCTCCCTCTCTGAGAGCTCCAGACAATTAAAAGTACGAAAAGGAAGCGATGAAAAGTCAAAATAAACCCTCAGCCTGAAAAATGCCTGGCTAAAGCAAGTTATCGTGTCTCCTTCCCCAACAAACAGACCTCAGAAAGGTCGTCTTCAGGGGCCTTCCCTCCCTGCTGACCCTCATCTCTTTCGATCCCGTTTGCCTGGTACCGTTTGCACAAATGGAAGCTTCTGGGTGTCCCCCAAGGGCCAAGGGACACTGCTCCGAGTGCATGGCAGGATGCATCAAGTTAGGATGCACCCAAAACAAGGATAACCATCGGCAAATCTGAGCAGCTCAGGAACGGCTGGGCTCTCCTGGCCACCCCCGACCCCTTTTGGATCCTGGCAGCTGGGGACCAAGGGCAATCCCAACGACCTCGTTGAACCCCAGAGCCCGGTTCCCTGCGAACCCTTTGCCTTAGTGGCATCTCACAGAACACAACCCAAAGGGGATAAAAACGAGCAGCCACAACTTCCTGTTCAGGGGCCCATATAAACCACAGGTGACTCTCTGGCCTCTGTGTGAACAGGTCCACCCCCTCCCTTGGATTTTTAGTCCGGCCCCACCTGGCCTAGCTAGGATGAAGGGTCAGAGTCAGTTAAGGGAATCAACTGCTTCCTTGGAGTTCAGTGCAAAGAATTTCACAGAGGTTTCGTCAGAACCACAAAATATGCATCACAGCTACTGCCTTGGAGTCGCTGCCCATTACATACTTGTGTGTGCAACGTCCAAAGGCATGTACAAAAGGGGTGCAGTGTTGTGATGCACATTTTGGCACTCCCCCACCCACTGACACCCATGGTGATAGGGCAAAGAACAGAAAAACTAGGCATGGACTGACAGCACGGCCCCCTTCGCTGCTCTTCAGTCCAAAGAGAGCTTGACAGAAAAGGCAGAAACTCCTGCAAAACACCCAGCTAAGTGCCAGCCCTACAAACTGGTCCAGGAGAATAAAACTGCTCATAATGGTATCAAAAACTGTCCAGCTATCTAAGAGAACCAGGTGGCTGCATTCTCTCAAGCTAGCTTTAAAAGTCACTCATCAAAGTAGCCAAAGAAATCTCAGGTTCATAATTTCATCTGGAAACCTAACAAAAGGAAATGGGTCCAAATTTGCTTAATTGGTGTTTAAAGTTGGGAAGCTAACACTTCCTTCATCATCTTCAAGGCCAATAATGGTCCAGCTGAATTTCCAGCTTTTCTGGGTAAAGAGATGATCTCATCATTTCTTACTACCTTTTTGGACAGGGAGATCATGGCCCACCTAGGAGGGAGAAAAACTGAACGGTCTCCATAGGACCAACCCTCCCCTGACTTGACACAAAGAGCCAGGAAGGGAATAATCAAAGAAGCAGGTGGAAGCGTCACTTTTCTAGATGAGGGTAGCCAGCGTAGTCTATTGTGTTGGACTGAACACGGAGAGACCCAAGTTCAAGTCCACCCTTAAATGAAGCAGTTTATTGGGTGACCTTGAATTAGCCAATCTCCCTCCTACCAAGTCACTTCACAGATAAAAGTTTAGAAAAAGTGGAGAATGAAGTATTATATTAGGCACTTTGAGCTCCTGAGAAAAGGTCTGATATCTTGAAAGTTTCTAGGATCATAAAAACCGCAGCAAAATACAAGTTCATCACATTTGATGGAATTCTTCTGTAATTTCTTTGTTAAAGACATCCTACAGTGGAAGACTATTCATGCTAGAAGCAATGCTTCTCTCTTTAGACAACTGAATAGACACGGATCTATGGCTTTCAAGAAGTTGTAGAACTGCAATTCTCACACATTTTCATGATGAGGGGCTATGCTGTCCTAAGCCATTTTTTAGGCAGGTAGAAGTTCCAGTTCTCTGATGTAGAATACAGGCTTGGTTGTTCTAAAGTAAACCACCTAGTATTTTTGTAATGGTTTAACAATGCCCCTACCTTCTTTTCTGCTTCATATTCAGCCCAGGCGGCCTTCCTTTCTTCTTCAGTCAATTCTTCTTCCTCTTTGTGGTCCAGAAGGGAATCATGCTCATGATAACCCACTATGTATTCTTTCTGAATCTGCAGCAGTTCAGCCAGAATTGTGTCCTAGTAGAAAAGAGAAGAACATAGTTATGTACCTATGAGAGCTCATCTGGCAAAAAGAAAATTTGTTTACCTTAGTAGAGTTCTAGAAGCGGGCATAATATTTTAAATTTAGTACCTCATTCAATCCTGTTTGCAAAACTGATTTCAAGCCAGAATTCATGATTATGTAGTTCTGAGGCTGAAAAGTGATGTACTGTTGCCACTTGCACTTCCAAAAATGACCCTACAGCATTTTACATGTAGAAATACTTTTTTAAAAAAAATCTAGAAGTAGTAAATATTTTTGCTCCTTAAAATTCTGAGTTTTCTTCTTGACCATCTAACGAATCTCACAGCTTGAAACTATCAGAGGAATGGTCAAATGTGAACTATGTTAGCGTGGATTGGCTAACTGCAGGAGACATTTTGGGAGAGGGTTTAACATGGGGTGGATATCTACTGGGGGGAAAACATTCACTCTATAACAGGGCTCTCCAACCTTGGCAACTTTAAGCCTGGGGTACTTCAACTCACAGAATTTTGAGAGTTGAAGTCTTCCAGGCTTAAAGTTGCCAAGGTTGGAGACCCCTGCTCTATAGGAGTAAGGCTTTCTCTAGCTTGGAACTGAAAGTATCCTTTTATCTGGAACTCTTTGTTTTCTGCTGAAGAACATTTGCATTTAGTTACTGATAGGCAACTTCTTTCTGTTATGTAAAGTTAATCACTTTTTCAATCTTAGATAAGAGATCTGGGTGAAAATCCCCACAGCAATACAGCTCCCAGAGTGACTTTGGATTCCTCACCCATTTTCAGTTTCGAGTACCTTACCACAGTGCTGCAAAGATAACAGTGAATGGGTGTGTGTGTGTGTAAAATAATTGAACTTGGGAAATGAGGGATGAGCAGCAAATAAAAAAACAGTTCCCTTTCTAAAGCCCAGAAATATCAACAGAGAGAGACAGAAAAGCAGGTAACAGATCCAAAGTTCACTTATATTAAACTGAAACTAAATTTTGCCCAACACCTTTATGTGGATAGCACAAGCATTTACAAAAATATTTGGAATAAAGATAAAAAGCCATCTTCCCCCTCAACCTACCAGGCCCCAAGATTTCCCAGAAACGCATAAAATAAGGGGGGGGGGGTTATGAGTAAAACCCATCAATAAATATTTTTAAAAACTGCCCACGCTGGTTATGATTGTGGAGGTTGCATTCTAGACCAATACACCTGGAGGGTGTCAAATTCAGGGGAAGGCAATATAAAAGTTAAACTGGGATATCTAAGAGGGAGAGACAGCTAGTAAAACTGAATTTGAGAATATGCCGATTGAAAAACAGTCAGATCCAAAAGTTCAGTTAACATACGTAATAAGATCTTGTTCATCTTTTGTACAACAAAATTTAACTGACTGCAGAATTCTTCAGATACACATGTACATACATTCGTTCCTATGGAAACTATACTGTTGAGCACAGTGCAATTTAATCCATGCACACCATGCCAATGTATTCATCAAAATGTGGTTTAGATTATAGTTAATTGGTAGATCTGTATTGCTTTGTCTGCAATGCAATTTCTATTCAGTATACAGAATAGACAGAAAGGTAAATTTTCTGCTTTTATGGAATCTTTGTCCAGGACTCTCTCATTCAGTTACAAGTATATATTTCTGGTCGGAGATGTGAAGACTTATTTCAAAAACAATTTTGAACAAAATATAGCTAAACATTCTTGGACTTGCAAATTTGGCCACTGCGTCTAACTGGCTGCAGTCAGAAATGAACTAGAAGAGTAGAGAGCCTTCCTGGCTGTTCTGGTTTCCTTTTCCCATCAAGGACAGACAAAGGCTTAAATATGTTGCAACTACAGATGCATAGAGGAGCTTACTTTGGGTAACATGGGCGTGTCTCTTTTCTTCTTTTTTTCTGAATTGGGATCATCCAGTATGTCTGGTTCAAAGGTGTAGAGTTCCGTGAGTTCATTCATGGTAAAATGGCGTTCAACCTGTTGCTGATCAACCACTCGGAAAGACAACGACTGTTTTGTGACCTGTCTATCATAGATCTTGTCTTCCATGGTTCCCTTTAAAAGAAAAACACATGAATGCTGGCAATGGTGTTGGGTGTCTTGCTGTGTTTGTTATTAATACCAGCAGGCTCATAAACTGTGAACCTCCTTCAAGAAGATTTAATTTCACTCCCTCATCTAATATTGTAGTTGTTCTGATTAGACGATTAGCCTGTTTTTCAGGTGAGCACACTTTTAAAGGCAGGTACAAAGTTACTGCAAGTTCACTATTCCAGTTGCATGGATGGTGGCACTAACAAGCATTATGCAAACAATATGATCATTGCCAGAAAACTAAAAGCAGAAATGTACCTTGAAACAACACGGGGCCAAATTGTAGAGGGTACCTGAAGACTTGCTTATGCCCTTTGAATCTACTCAGCCCCTCAAACTGGCAAACTAGAACCTGTTCTCTGAAATGTCCTTAGCAACATCGTTTGGCTACCAAGAGACGGACCTCATGATGATATCAAACTGTTGACCCTCCTCTTTAATCTTCGACAGGCTCTGCAAACATGCTCAAATCAATGCAAATTCCTTCTACAGAGAAGAACAGGGGGGAACTGAGGGGCCCCCAACCCCTGGGCCGCGCCTGGTTCAGAACCAGGGAGCAGCAGTGGCAGGCGAGCACGAGCTCAACCAGCCTGGGATCATCCATCCCCCCCACTTCTGCAAAGCTGGAAAGGCCAACCTATAGAATGGCTCCTCAGCCATACTCTACAAGGGGTGGTCTTTCAATCTTTCAAAGTGCAACATTATTGTACTTTATGACATCTGAAATCTTTCAGAAGATGAGAGCGCCCCACCAGATCAGGCCTAAGGATTCCTGGTCCAGCATCCTCTCTCAGGGTTTCTCAGCCTTTAAGATGCGTGGACTTCAATGTCCAGAATTCCCCAGCCAGGAGGCTTATTTAGATTCTTATTTAAAAACTAAAACATATTGGGGCACCCAAGAGAAATTGTCTTACTTACTTTCTGAACCGGCATATAAGACCACATGCTTTATTTCAAAGGCCATTTCAAATAGGGCAGAATATTTAGATCGGATTGGAGTTAACCATATGGGGTGACAACTTACTGCAAACATGTCCTATTGTGTTCTTTCTATCTATTCGTATCTTTGTATTAGTTTTATACTTCTGATTTGGTTGGATGACTAAACAACAATTCTATTCTATTCAAAAGAGAAATACATAGCATCTAAGACAGCTTGAAAATGTACCTGAATGAGATTTAAAAATAAAGATTATGCCTTTTGAAAAATAAGCTACAATGAAATTAATAAATATGGCAATACGTTAGACAAGTGTCCTTTTTGTGATCTGTTCTGTAGAATGTAAAAAATTTGAACTACAAGGGGTTGTGTAATCAATGGTTCCAAATATAGTTGAAAAATCAGACTTCAATTATATGGAAAAGATTCAGTTCTGACTTACCTGAGCTAAAAATCGGTACACATATACAGGTTTAGTTTGTCCAAAACGATACACTCTGAAGATACTCTGAATATCGTAAGATGGGTTCCAAGAAGCATCAAAGATAATGACTCTATTTGCTGCTACTAGGTTTATCCCAAGGGATCCTGCCTTAGTAGAAATAATAAACAAACGACCCCTGCAAAAAAAGAAGAAGAAGAAGAAGAAGAGTAAAATTTGGTTTATTCCACTTCATACTCAAATTAAATAAAGATATAGTCTGCCAAAAACCAGGGAAGCATATTGAAGATTCTTTAAGTTTAGTGAAAAAGGAAAGGACAATGTTTTTAACAGTATAAAAGAGAATTCTGAGGATCTTGTTATATCATAGGATGAACGTTCCAATTAAACTGCACATTCCATTTGGGCAGATTTAATCTTGAGAAGAGAATACGAAGTAGTGTAAAACATTTTGGGAAAAACATTCCATATTATGTTCTTTTTCCAGTGTAAAACTGTATGCCAAATGTAAAACAGGATATATTTTACACATTTGTGCTCGCATCACAGCTGCAACAGGTTGGAGATGCTTCCAAAATGCTCAGCACAGCCAATTTTGCACACAAAACATCAGTTTTGAACTTAAAATAAGATACTTTGCAAAATTCCACCCTTACAGTACTTTGAAACAAAACATTTTGCACACTCCTAATATTAAGAATAGGCAGAAAGAAATAGTCAATTATCTCAAAAGTATGTAACCTTCTGTCTTAAAACCAGTGGACAGAGTCCCCACAATTTATCAAACTGCATTTTAAAAAAGTGAGATGGAAAAGCAGTACATAACTAGGAAGAGAAAAATCTTACTAATTTTGTTTAATTACAATCACTTTTAAATGTAAATGAAATGAACTAAAATCTGGGCTTCTATACGAAGTATGTTTTAGCTAAATATTATAATTGTTATTCTGGAGATAATAAATTATCCTTTATAGATTGTAAAGGAGCATTCCACTAGCACAAAACAGCACTCAGATAATTTGTATGGTCTTTCCCAGTTGTACAAGTTTAAAGTAATCTGCACTGCATTTCTTCAGCTTAAGAACTACATTCCAAAATTTGATGGAAAAAAGTTCACTTCAAAAGTGTTAATAAAAACTGATTTAGAAGTGTTACTTGGATAGATTAGAGGAGAACAAGAAATAAAAGGTCTCAAAATAAAAAAAGAGGAATATAAAGTCCAAGCTTTTGTGGACGATTTGGTATTTGTGTTTAAGGAACCATTAGAATCGGGACCCAAGTTAATTTGGAATATTGAAGAATTTGGAAAAGTGGCAGGGCTTAAAATAAATAAAAATAAGACAAAGATTATAACAAAAAAATCTTACTAACAGAACAAAGAATTGGAGGAAAATTAGAAATGCAAATTGCCAAAATATATATATATATATATTTAGGAATATGGTTAACAGTGAGAAGTATATCTATTAAAGAAAATAATTATACAAGATTGATAATACAAATTAAGACAGATTTAGATAATTGGAAGAAATTACAGGACGAATTGCCACAATAAAAATGAACATATTGCCAAAAATTCTATTTCTGTTCCATGTGACACCGATAAAGTTAGGAAAGACATTTTTTGAAGATTTAAACAAATTAATATCAAAGTTTATTTGGCTAGGGAAAAAACTGCGAATAAAGTTAACATTGTAACAGGACAGTAGAAAGAGAAGGGGTTTTGCTCCGCCAAATTGGGAATTAAACTATACAGCAGTAGCCCTTACATGGATTAAAGATTGGGTAATGTTGAAAAATAAAAGAATATTGACAATTGAAGGACATGACTTGCAATTAGGGTGGCACACATTTTTATGGGATGGGAAAAATAAGACGCACAGTTATTTCCAAAGACACCAAATAAAGGTGTTGCTATTAATTTGGGAAAATATTAAAAGGAAGCATTATGACAAAATTCCGATCTAGTTATCAACCCTGGAGGCATCAATATATCCAAATGTGTTAGATCTAGATAAGATAGTAAGATATAATGATATCCCAAACAAGCAAGAGATATAAAAACAAAACAAGAATTAAAAGAACAAGGAATCAAGGTAGAGTGGTGGACGTATATGCAAACAAGTTTTAAGAAAGCTGTAGAAAAATACGGGATTCACAGAGATCTATTGGAATTAGATAAGATATTACAAGGTCCAGAGGAGAAATTGATTAAAAAATTATACAGTTATTTGTTGGAATATAAGATGGAGGAAGAGAGGGTTAATGATAGTTTGGGCAAAAAAAAATTGGCTACACAATAGAATTGGAGAAATGGGAAAAATGTGGGAAAAGAATTATAAATTGACAATGTCGGCAAAAATTTTTATACAAAATGTTCTACAGATGGCATCTACCCCCTGCTAGATGAGCAAAAATGTTCCCAAACAAATCACCTGAATGCTGGAAATGCAAACAAAAGCAAGGAACTATTACCATGCATGATGGATGTGCCCTGTAGTAAGGAAATACTGGATAAGGACAAAAAAATGGATAGAAGAAATAATTAAACAACAAATTGAACTAAGACCAGAGACTTTTCTATTAGGTATAATAACAGGAAAATATGATAAGAAAACAGAATATTTAATGCTACATCTATTTAACAGCGGCAAGAATAACGTATGCACAAAATAGAAAAAGATAGTATGCCACTAGAGGAAAATGTGATAAAAAAGATATTAGAGCGTCCGAGATGGATAAACTGACCATGGAGATAAAAGACAGAGAAGAAACAGATTATTATTTGATGTGGAATGCATTGTATGATTGACTAAATAATAGATATAAAGATGAATAGAGAAGATGACAATAAGGAAAAGGTTATAGTGGACAAAGGTAGATTAAGGAATATAGACAAATGTACGGATAGTTGAGATTTATGTAAAAGTATGTATACCGTCACAGAAGTGTTGCAATGATTGGAAATGATGTATATAAGAAACATAGTTTAATAATTTAAAAAAAACCCATATAAAAAGTTTTCTGCAACAGAAAATAGATATGTTCCTATTTATTCAATTCAGAAAATGTGTAATGCTATACAATGTGTGTCAGATATTGGAAATATGCATGTCAAAGAAGAGGACAGATAGCAAGTCAAACTATAATAATCAAACTCTTATCAGAAAATGACTTTGGAATCCCTTTCGGAAAGGAAAGCTGGCAGCAAATGTCTTTCTTCTCATTAGGTGTGAGAGCAGGCCCCAGGGCAAGGGTGGAGGAGGAAGAGACAAGTATGGGCTGAGCTAAATGGAATTTGATTCAGATGGTCCATAATGCATCTGGAAAGGAATCTAGGTTTCTAAGTCAGACAACAATATCCGCTTAAAGCAGGGTTTCCCAACCTTGGAAACACTGCTATGTGTGAACTTCCATTCCCAGAATTCCACAGCCAGCATGACCACTGATGAGAATTCTGGGATTGGAAGTCCACACATCTGGAAATGGCCAAGGTTGGGAAATCCTGGCTTAGAAATTCACTACATTGTGAATTTGTGAGCCCAAGAAGAAGAAGAAATCTGTTTGTGCATCAACTCCTTCTCTAGTGATATTGGGTGGGCATTGTCTTCTGACATACCCTTAGGAGGTTTTATTCCTTGATATTAAGCAGCAGGCCCGCCTTTGCACCTTTAACCAGTGACTCCTTAAGTCTTTCTCACTTTCAGCCATCAAAGAGAGATCCTTAGCATCTCTGAGGCACCTATTTTAACTCCAGTTCCTCCTTTTTCTAACCTGGCAGGATATAGTCTGCATGTACATTAAGCTTACTATACATTAATATAATAAGCTTATCCACAATTTATTGTGATGTATATAATCAAAAGCTGTTGTATAATCAGTAAAGTAAAAATAGGTAGCTTTTTGCAATTCCCTTTCTGTTTCCATCATTCACTGGATGTTAGGAATGCCCCGTTTCTTCTGAACCAGCATGTACGTTATATCTGGCAGTTCTTGTTGCAAAGATGTTGGAATTTAGCATTAACTTATTGGCAGATGAGGTAAGACAGTTGTTTAATGTTTTAAACATTATTTAGCAATGCTCCTTTTGGGATATAGATTGATGCTTTCCGGTTTTCCACCCACTGCAGTGTTCTTCATTATATGCATTTCAAGTTGCATGGAGCGTTTAATGGCACCATTTCCTATGACTTTAAATAGTTATGCTGGTAGGTCCTGCAGCCTCCCTATTAACAATATTTTCTAATTTCATATTCCAGAACGTATGGCTCTGATTCAGTGGTCAAATTTAGCATCATTCTAGCATATTCGGCCTGTATACAAGCACAGGCTTTAACACCTTCTGTTAATATTAATAGTGATTTTCATATCCACAGTCTTTCCTATTTGTTTATAAATCTCATTTCTGTGATTGGAAAAAGAGGCGATTAGACTGGCCCAAAAATCATGGGCTTCTGGCCTACAGATGAGGCTCCTTTCCATACACTTTCATTCTTACCTGACGTTGGTTACATCATTAAACTCTTCAGCCCACTTTTTTCTTGACTGAGCAGTAGTAGAACCATCCAGACGATAATAATCAATATTTCTGAACCATTTTCCTTCACCTAGGAGTTTGAAAAGCATGGGATTAAGTGTATTGTACAAGGAGGCAGGGTCCATCATCATCTGACAGTTTCCATTTCTTTTAAAAACTTTACTTATGAAATTCATGAAAGGTCAAGAAAGGCTCTAACTTTTAACTGAGTCTGTCTGAAAGGATGCCACTGAACTCCTTCTAATTATTTGATTTGACCCAATGGAGACTTTTCCCAGGTATCCATTTCTGTGTCATACACTCAAGAAATATAAAAATGGTATGTTGTGTTTTCTCAGTGAATGTCTTCTTGCTTTAAAATAGTATTGCTTTTTTCTGCCTCCCTTAACTTCAAATGCCTATGAAATACAGAGACAGGAGGCACTAGTCATGATTTAAGGCTCAAAGGCATGTTTTATCGTTCTTGTAATAAATTCTAGTAATTTAGAATCTAAAGTTAGGGTTAGTATAGTTTTTGCCATAGACTAAAACTAATGAATTCAAATGTATCTTACAGAATGTGATAACTTCAATTCTGACACAATTAAGCATGTTTAAATATGCTTAATATAAACAATTTACATTACAATGTAAGCAACTTAGTTTTGAAGGATTTCAAATAAAATACTAGTTGTATAAATTTTGCGGAATAAACATATTTTTAAAGATGGGTGAAGAAAGGGAGGAAGGGAGGGATACTTGTTAACTGCATTGTATCATTGAGATTTTTCTTCCAGGAAATTGTTTTCTGTTTTTTGTACTGACTGATCTGTCCCCTGGAAATTACATTTTCTAAATAAATTTTAAAATTCGATGCTTAATCACTGTAGACAATATTTATAACAGCTAGTTGCTCTATTTTTTTAAAAAAAAATCTTGCTTATTATAATCTCTGTAAGTGGCAAGAAAAAATTTAAAATCTGGATGATGAGGCAAAAATCTATTTTTAACAACTTTGCTTTAGAAAAAAAGCAATGTAGCTATCCCTAGAAGTAGAGGATTTGTGTTGTTATTTCAGAGATTCCTGAATGCTACATTTGTTTCAAGAAAACAAAAGGCCTCCACACCCCACAGGATAGATAACCACTTAAACCTGAACTATTAATCAAACAAATTAATTCCATGGTTAGATGAGATCCGTGTTTCTTGTCAGTTGGCTGGAGAATTCTGGAGTTGACGTCCACCCATCTTAAATTTGACACAGTTGAGAAACACCGAATTAGATTCTTCCTGAATTCAGGACTTAAGCTGTGGGTTTAGAGGAACCTCACATTTTTCTCCCAAATAAGAAAATCACTACTGATCTGTGAAGAATATGGATTCAAGGAGGGACTTTTTAAAAAGTACTTCCTGCTCTGAACACAGTAGGATAGGCAATTCCTTATATCTGCCTCTGAAAAAGAAGAAGGAATGGACTTGATGAAAGGACAAATAATAATTGAAGGAAAAACTGAAAGTATAAAGGAAGAAAAAGGTAGATAACAAGAGCCTCACGTTGCTTTTCCCACAGAAGAGAGACAGGTTTCAACCAGAAAATAAGGGTCTTGATACCACTGCCACTTGTAATGCCCTCTTATTTAACATGCCAGCTCCGAGACAGATTTTTTTCCTCTTCCCCCTCCCCCCTCTATCTCCACTTTCTTTAACTTCAAAGGGAGAAGAAGCTCTTCCACATTTCTGCTGGCTTCTGTTTTTTGTTTGTTTGTTTTGTAAAGTTCATCATAAGCTCATCAGGCAGGTAAAATGAGCCATCTATACAGTTGGGCAAAAAGAACTCAAACCAGTGCACAAGTGCTCTCCAGAATCCTAAAAGCTGCCAAGGATGGCAGGGGGAAAAAAAAATATCAAAAGTCCAAATATGAAACCACAGCGGTGAGATTTGTGGTTCAGAATCTTCTTTGCTGCCCCTGCAGATTTCACCTAAGACCCAAAGGACCAAGAAGTACCAGCTGACTCTGCCTCCTTGCACAAAAAGGCACTTTCACGAAGCAAGAGTAACGTTACACACACAGGAGAGGAAAAAAATCAATCTCAGAAGACAGATAAAGGGACAAAGCACAAAGTTTTAAAGGCTCAGTGTTACGCAGCACTGTGAAAAGAATATATCAACATGGGGAAGGTGAGTGTGGAGGATTTCCAGATCTCAAAGTGGGTATTTGCTTACTTACCTTTATATATTACTGGCTTCCCTTCTTCTTTGTCCCGGTTTGCTAACTCCAGAAAATCTTCTATCAAGTCAAGGGATATCAGAGATTGGCTGAACACTAAGCTGAAAATGGGAATTGGCAAAAAGAGTTGTCAGTTCGCACCCCTGTAATTAGCATACTGGTGTCTTGTGCTTGGTGCCATCAACTCAGTTTATAAATGGAAGGTGACATTAAAAAGCTTGTTTTGCTGGTCAGAGCAAAACGCGGATGGCAATTTTGGGGGAGGCATGGGAAAGCCCATGGCATTGTTCAAGTTTTTCCACTTTCGGGTTCTGGATTGCAAATGTTCTATCACCTAAGAGGAGAATTTTGTGAGTTCAGGAATTGCAGGCTAACTGTTGCACTCATGTTACCCTGTAGAGCAACGAAACATCTGCAACACAAAACCAGACCTTCACGACTCCAACCACAAAACATGCCAACCCTGAGCTGCACTTATTTGCTTCCACTGCAAAAAAGAATATAGACATGGAAAGCACACAAATACGGGATTGTTCTCGACTTGCAACCGGTCATTTAGCAAGAGTTCAAAGTTACAACAGAAACCCACCCCCCAAAGCTCTGACAGCCTTCCCCTCTGGTCACATAATGGCATTCTGGTCGCTCAGCAACCAGTCCAGGTTTATGGCTGCTTCCTGTATCCTGTGGCTACATGAACATGGTTTTTATAATATTTTTTGCTAGATTTTGGCCTTCCAGTTTCTGGCAAAAAGCACCCATAGCTGACAATGGGTTTGCTTAATAACCACTATCACTTTCGCATAATCACCACCATAAAAAAAAGCTGCAAAATTGGGCGTGATCCCATGGTCCTTCGTGTACTTAACACCTGACACAACATATGACTGTAATTTTGGGCTCAATCATGATCATAAGTCAAGGACTACCTGTATTGCAACCCAAAAATGGAAGATTATTTCCCCCTAATCACCAAGAACCGCTTACACTTTATCTCCAAGTTCTTCAGCCATGCGCAAGATTTCAAAGAGGAGCATCATCTTCCCCGAATGTTCCAGCACTTCCGCATCAGCATCCACCACAAAATCCTTATACCAATCCGGGGCAGGGCTGCCGGGATTGGAGGAAGTACTTTTACCTTAAGAGAAGTGGAAGAAAGGAAAGTGCTACTTAAAAAGGCAAAGCGCAGGCTCTTCTCCAAGGAATCAAACACTCCATAAAAATACAGTTTCTTAGCCAAATTTACACTTTGATTATAGTATCATAGCATACCATCCCAATGAGTTTTAATCCTTAGGTTTAGGGGAGGAAGAGGGAAATACTGCTTCCTCACCAGGGAAGGGGCAGCTAGACAGCTAAAATATATATTTGCCCAGTTATGTTTTACAAATTCACTATTTTGGTGTTGTTTTTTTTTCAATTGAAAACTACCTTTGGGATCCATTGGAGTTGAGAATATAGGAAAAAAATTAAAAATAAAAGCCGCATTTTCATATCAAATATATTACACACAGTTCATCCTTGAGTCTCAAAGCAGGGATTATTAACCTTTTTGTGCCATGATCATGTATGGTGAAGCCTCCCCATTCTTTCCCAGAAAGACGTGTTTAAACATTCGTGTAAGGAGTAGATAATAGTTCTTGGTGCTTTGTTTGCTTGCAGATATTTCATTACCCAACTACTTGACTGTACTGCCTACAGCTGGCTGAGGAATTCTGGGAGTTGAAGTCCACAAGTCTTAAAGTTGCCAAGGTTGGACACCCCTGGTCTACAGTAATATATGGGTTTCTCTATTAACCCATTAAAACAAAAACAAAATAAACTAAATCTCTGTAAATTTGTAAGTTTCCCCCCCATCCGCAGAGCCCCTGAGATCTAACCCCAGCTCCCAAGGATCTGCAGTCCCCAGGTTAAGCTCCTCTGCTAATAAACTTTCAGGTCCAGAAAAGCAGCACTGCTGGGCACAAAACCGTGGTAAGCGCAGGGCAGTGCCATACTCCGTTGTCCTTGAGGGCCCACTACAAAAAGCCCCCCACCTTCATGGAAAGTCTTACCTTCCTCTGCCTTTAGAATGAGGGGAGGGTTGCTTATTGGCTCCTCCACAGTTCCTCCTTCTCCCCCTCCCCGAGATCTTGAATTCCAGACTTTAATCACTTCAACGTCATTGTCACTCCCGCTCCCACTGGAACTACTGTCTTTCTTGGATTTCTTGCCCTTTGTTTTCTTCTTCCTAAAATATATATATTTCAGCATGAAAACTCTCCGGTCACGCTCATTTTATTCCCAACTGTTTTAACATGCAATTCCAACCATAAATGGGTTTACCGTTTCGGAGGAACGATTCAACTTACTTAGTATCTTCTTCGGAGCTTAAGCTCATTGACGTTTCTTCGGAATCAGAAACTATGAAGTCATCAAGACTGTCTTCATCAAAATAACCCTGAAAGATCAGGCGGTCTTATTAAGCACAGCCAACCTTTTTTTTCAAACTTTCAGAACACAAATTAAAACACACAGAAATAGAAAGAAGTATGGAACCAGTTATCAAAAAATGAAACGCTCTAGAATTGCCTCGCTGCAGGCAGAGCTGCTACGAGAGACACAAAGACAGAGAGAAGTAGATTACCTTGTTTTCTTTGCTAATATAATCCAGCTGCAAACACCAAGGATGAGTCCAAATTCTGCTTAACATCTGGAAATCTTGGAAGAGTTTAGCTCCAGCTTTGCCTCTTCCACCTTCACTGCTGTTGCTGACACCTGACAATAGAGTTCAATTATGTACTTGAAATAGATTAACCAAACCGTTAAGTTTACCAAAATCAACTCACTTTTATGCATCAGGAATTCCCTCCTCTCTCTTTTTCCTAGTCACTTGTAAGAAAGAGAGGGTTTTCCTGGAAGCAACACTGCTACCAGAAACCAGAAGATTCAAGTAACTGTTAGTAAATTGCTAAAAATTCATCATTCATCTTGTTTTATAGATTTGACAGTCTATACTATTTATAGGCATATGTCATTTGCACATGCAAACTGCATTTTTATTTATATATTAGAAATCCCATTTTAAAAAACAAATTCACAATATTTTCCCTCATAAAGCCTTAATGTCATATTTCAATAACTTTTTATACGCAATGGTAATGAAAGACAACTGTAGAATGTTACCTTTTTAAGAGTAAAGTTCTATCATTCAATCCCAAGGTCCCATAAAATTAAAATAGTCAAGGAAATTCAAAGCCCATTAAAATTTCCGAAATTGAAGTACATTTGATAAATTAAAGTTTTATCTAATACTTATACTTGGTACTATACCTGTCATACAGGAATTTACCCAGTCCCCTTTTAAAGTCATGGAAGTCATTATGGAAGCCAGTGGCTACCACCATGTCTTATTATGGTATAAATCAATTAGGTGTTGCTGTGTGAAATGCTCCTTTTTGTCTATTCCAATGTCTCCACCCAATCAGCTTCAATGGATGATCCCGGAATGTTTGGAGAAAGGGAGAAAACTTTCCTTTCTCTGCACCATGCACAATTTACACCTGCTTCCTCTCAAATACCTTTTTCCAAGATGCGGCCCCAGCCTCTTCTTGTAGGGAAGAAAAGGTTCCAGCTTTAGGGCTGTTGTAGACTTTTTCCAGTTCTGCTACAGACTTTGCAGCAACCAACACTCTAGTTACAAATGTACCACCAAGCTGTATAAGAAGATTCTCATTCTCCCTGAATGCCAAGTCAACAAGATTACCTGAACCATCCCCTAATCATCTTCATCAAGATAAAAAATAATAATAATTAACCCCATACTGCAGTTCAGCTTTGCCTACTCCATATCCAAATATTCTCTGGTTCTTTTTTTTTCTCTTTTACAACAATTAAGCAGTGAATTATCCTTACCTGTTAAGTGATCCAGGTAGTACTGGTACAGTTTACACTGAATCGGAGTCATTCTAACAGCTAGGACATACTCATGTTTTGGGGGCAGGAACTTTGTCAATGCTGTATAATCTTTCCTCTACAATTAGATCAGAAAAAGAGAAGCTAAATAGTGCTATGGTATCATTCCAGCATCGAAGTACCAACCCTGAGTTAATAAACTTTGTAACTTAAAATACAAGGAACAACTAAAATGCTTAGAATTTTTTTTTTTTTTAAGGATTCTAAACGGTGAGATTGTTCAGCATTCACACACATGGACGTCCTCCTTCCCTGCACAGAAACCTCTCTTTACAGACGCACTGGCTTGATTCAGACCTAGTGCTACGCGGAAACATCTGAGTCTGAGGCTTTGGTGGTCCATAGGGAAAAGTTTCCAAATGTTCCCCCCTTTTTTTGTTGAATTAACTTCATCGTGCCAGTGGTTATTTTAAATATGGCTTTATGACACAAGCCAACTTTATAAGCAAGTTTCAAATGAACATTTGAAGATAAGAGTAATCACAGTTTTTATGCAGGCTAGGGCCCATAACTATGCACTCTCCTGCTCCGGAGAAGGAAAGGAAAAGCTCACAACCACACTTGAGCATTATGCTGATATGCAACTATAGCAATGTGCCTTACACTGCCTGTCTACAACTGACATACACAATTAAGTTATCACCATTTTTTTGCAAAAGATTTTTAAAAAGGGAGGGAAGGAGAAAGTAGAAACACAAATAAACAAGGAGGAAAAAAATTAAAAGGTTAAGAGATTCCCACGTCACAGCTTGGGGTGAAATATGGGTCACAAGTCTAAAAAGATTAAAAGTTCTTCCCCAAATTATCTTCCATAGAGATTATCCAGTAATTGCAGGCCACCCTGAGTGCCGGTGCCTGGTGGGGTTTACATTTTAAAATAAAAGAAAAATAATCAAATGGCTGTGGGCAAATCAAAGCTTTTAAAATATTTTCTTTCTTGTTAATCAGGAATAATGGATTGCTTGTTAAGAGAAAGGTACAACTTCAGTTGACAGGAAAGTGTCAAAACTCTCTTAAAGTTTCAGTTTCAGATGTGAGGAATTTTTAACTTTCACATTGGAGCAAAGTAACACAAATCAAAATCCACGCACCTGAACACACCCAGCTAGCATTTCATACAAGATGTGGGCCCGCTTTTTCATCACCCTCACATCTACTAGCGTGGAATCAGCACACTGGCCGTTCTGGATGGGGTTTATAAATCGATTTCGGAACTCCTTAATTGATCCAAGCAAATTCTCCTTGATGAAATTAACCATGCAGTGATCTGAGGAAGGGAAAATGTAACTTTTAGTTCTTTTAGCAGAATAATCTTGTTACAAGTCTTTAATAAAGATGGACAAGTATATATTCACTGAGGCCTTCTCTAGTTGGGTGGCCTTGGTCCAGAAAGGCAACTTATAAATATTTAAATAAAAAAAAAGAAATGTTTGGAAGCAGGTTCAGGCTGTGCTATGTTTTAAAAGAAAGGGACTATTAGCTCAAACTGGGGATCGGGCTAGAGCAGGGATGACAAACTAGATTTTCTTGAGGGCCGCCCTCAGGGTTGTTTGACCTCAGGGGGTACCAGGGGTGGGCGTGGCCGTGGCGTGTGGTCAGCTCGACATCACTTGTGTCGGGGGCACCTGTGGTGGTCCAGGTGGGACTGGGGGGATCCATGGTCTCCAGCAGAGGAAGGTGAGATCAGGGAGAGCACCAAAGCCTTGTCCTCCAGAGGAGGCCTTTCCATCTGCTGGTGGCCAAGTGTTAAGGCTGGACTTCCCTCCTTTCCTTTTTTCTTCCCTCTTCATTCTCCTTTCCTTCTTCTTCCTTCCCCTCTTTTCTTCCTTGCTCTCTCCCCCATCTTTCCTTCTTTTTGTTTCTCCTTTCCTGTCCCTTCTTGGATGCAAAAGGGGAAACATTTATCCCTTGTTTTGTTTTTAGTTTGTTTTGCTAGCCCTCTGCCGGAGAAAATGGAGCCCCCTTCCCTCCGAGCTCTGTTTCTGCAGGGAGAGGGCTGCAGGAGGCTGTCCAGGCTGAAAATGGGGGCCCGAGAGGGCCGCATGCAGCCCTCCTGAGCTCCATTTTCGCTGGCAGGGGGACCGTGGGCTGGTCCTTCGCTATTTGCAGGACAGCTCCGCAGGCCAGATCTAAGCACCCCAGGAGCTTTGAGTTTGACAGCCCTGGGCTATAGCTTTGCACCCAATCTGTGCAATAATATGTTGAGTGCAAGATGCAGAGCCCTTTCCAGCAACCTGCAATTCAGCATGCCATTGTCAGCCAGGGAAAGCCTCTTGAAGCCTTGCTGTCAAGTAACATGGATGCAGCATTTTGACATGCACGATATTCTCGTCCAGAAGAAGCAGCAGAATTGGTGACCAACTGAGCAAGGTTTCTGACTGTTTAAAAAAAAAAAGACATGATGCAAGACAGGATTGCTGCCATCCTTGAAGGCCCAGGGGTAGAGTCCTACTGGTCAGAGACTAGGCCAATCCTTGTATGAGGTTTCTTTTTGAATACAATCGTATTAAAATTGTCACACTACATTACACAAATTACAGGGAGGGAAGGAATTCAAGGAGAGCACCAGAAAAAAAAATATTAAGTAAGCATAGAAACAGTGTGCACAGATTTACAATAATAAATGCAGATGTTTGTTGAATAATCAAACTATGAATATGTTTAAGGATCAGCAGTGAGGAGAAAACCAAATATGGATGGAGCGTATTATTCCATAGCAGAACTCTTTTATTTTCACTGAAAGCGTAGACAGATATAAACGTTTGGTTCCCTCTTAAAATGTACTTACATTCTATGAGATTGTTTTGCAAAGGAGTTCCTGTAAGAATGATCCTCCTCCTGGATCTGATAGAATTCATAGCTTTAGAAACAGCAGAAGCTTCGTTTTTTAGTATATGTCCTTCATCACAGATAACAAAATCTGGGCCTGAAATTACAGAAATAGCATTTCAGAGATGTCTGTAAAGTTGGAATCCTGCTTAAAATGCCAAGTCATGGAGCGTATGAATCTCCAAATAAGCATTTTATGCCAAGGTGCAGATGGTTTACATGACAATTTAATCTAAACTGGCATTCATAGCCCTACATACAATATAAAGACATGTGCAACCTGTGCTGCTGGCCTGTTCCTTATGTTGACTGGGGTCTTGCAAAGACAAAAATTTATTCTGTACATGAAGCATTTTTAATGGATGTACACTTTTGAATGATTTCTTAAATGGATTCTCTCAAAAGTAGAAAGCAAGGTTATGCCATTACTTTGGATTTACTTTGGAAGAGAGGATTCTCAGAATCCACAGGAGCCACATATGTTTGAAATTTACTAAAGAAATGATAGCACAGCACTTTTAGGAAAATGATGCAGCCACTTTAAAAAGCTGCAAACCAATGTTGAGTCTGCATTCTCATAAGATCTTAAACCTCTTCCAAACGGAATTCAAGCTATTGTCTAACTCTGGCAAGAAACTTATCAAACAAAGGAACATCATCAGTGGTAGCTTTGTTGGGTAATGAAACAACCAAGCTCAGAAAACATCAAGAATCCCACAATACCACTCTTGTCATCAAGGACAATGCACTTTCTATATTTTAAATATCAGAAATGCAGAGTCACGGGGCATTGAATAATTCCCTAGAATCTGAGAACACAGGCAACTACTTGATTAGACATATGCAGGAAACAAATTTAGTTGATACATGCTAAAATAGTCTCTGCTCATTCTTACGAAAATACACGCTCAGGTTTCCTCAAGTGATATTTTTCAACATTTTGTATAAAGCCAGATCACAGAGCCCTCTACTGGTAACTGAAATAAAGCCAAAGTTGAGTACGACGTAATGACTGATTCACAGCAATATTGGCAACCAAGGAAGTTATCAAGATGGCAACAATCACCATCAATTGGCCAGCCTTGCAATTAGCTTTTCTCCCTTTTGGCTGATGAAAAGAAAACCTCCCTACATATCTGGCATCGTCATAATCCCCTTTAAAGAAGACATTGGGTAGCAGACTTTATGACAGTTTGGAGACAAACCATCCAAGGACCCTTAAAAAGAGCAAGGCTGCCTTCTCAATAAGCATCCATTATACAAATAGGCTTATGAAAGAATAATGTAAATACAGGTAGTTCTCGTGTTACAACGGTATCTGGGACTGAAACCTCTACAGTTAATGGATGTGGTTGTAAAGCATGATGTCATTTGACCGCCTCCTTTAGCAATGGCAATCGTGGCTATCCCAGTTGCAGTCGTTGACTGAATCCCACAGGTCATTAAGTGAGGGTCCACCCTGACCCAAGCCATTCCTAGCTTGGTCCCTCCCAACCCCGAGCCCTGGTAAGGCAAGGGATTGCCCCCCCCCGTCCACCCCCCCCCCCCCCCCCTCCGGCCGTTCTACAGTGGCATTCCTCTGCAACGGTGACCCTGGGGCTCAGCTAGAGATGGAGAGTGATAGGTGTCACCAACAGATGCCCCTCCCCCCACTGTCGCAGAGTGCCACCTCCAGCCCCACACAGCGGCCAGCCCCCAATCACCAAGCCCCAGCCACCTGCCCACTATCTCGTGCTCGATCCCTGGATTTCGCTCTCTTCCGCCTACCGCTGACCAAGTGTGCCCGGCCTGGCCTAACTGCTGGCTGCTCCAGGCTTTTCCCCCCAGGCTGCTCATAACGTTCTCCAAAGAGCATGCGCCTTTCTTGTGATGCTTCGGAAAGCCTTGGAGCCCACCCCACAAAGCGTCACGAGAAGGTTTCAGAAGACTGCCAAAGCACTGTGAAAAAGGCTCACGCTATTGGTTGCTGGGCAGAGAGGCTGAAAGGGCAGAGATTGGGGCGGGAGGGGTGTCAGCTGGTGCTCCGTTCAAAATCCAAGAAAGAAATACTTAGACTAGAGAAAAGATATCTTTTACTGGAAGTCAAGTGGTAGCAACAAGAGAATTCTGAATCTGAGGAAAAAGGCACGTACATCACATATATCAAGGGATTGAAATGTTCCCACCCCCAATAGTTCAAACGGTTCTTCCAATTAAAAGTTGTGAACCTCATCATGTGGACATCTTCAGGTGGTGATGATTAGTTGACCTTGGCTTTACTCAGATAAAGGTTTGCAGTTGCGCAGAGAAGAGAAAGCTAAGCAAGAAATAGAAACCCTCCTCAGTTTATACAATATTAGTTAGTAACACCTCCAGCCCGTTTCCCATACTTTCCCCCCTTCCTCCCCCCGTTACTCATGACAGCCAGAAAGAAGATCTTGAAGGCTGACATTCGGCCCTCCTAGAAAAAAGACGTTAGTCCTATAAAAGAGGGAAATATAAAAGGCACGAATTAATAACCAGTTAACATAAAAGAGACATGTATCTAGGGTTTATCAGGATAATTAGAACGAAATGCTCTGACAAGCTTAGGGGCTCTAACATCTTTTTCATTGACCCACTCAGCCCGGGAAGAAGGGAAATGCTTCCAAGCAACCAAATATTGGAGCCAACCCCTCCATCTTCGAGAGTCTAGAATTTCTTTAACTTCAAAATGTTGTTCGCTGTCAATAAGCAATGGTACAGGAGGGTCGGTCTGGGTCAGTCTCAGATCGGAAGTATGTTCAGGTTTTAACAAACTAACGTTGAAAACCAGGTGGATTCGTCGAAGGCTTTTAGGTAATTTCAATTGGACTGTCACAGGGTTTACAATTCGTTCAATCGAGAAAGGACCAACATACTTAGGACCAAGTTTCTTTGACTTTTGAGTGGTTTTTAGATATCTGGTGGACAAAAAGACTTTATCACCCACTTGATATGGTGTTTGTGGAGTCCTCTTTTTGTCTGCAAATTTCTTATGAGCCTGAAGTGCATCATCCAATGCCTTACGAGCGACTGGCCAATTAAGCTGGAGTTGTGTTATCCATTCATCTAATGACTGAATACTAGGCCTCTCACGAGGGAGTTCAGGTATGGGTACAAAGTCTTGTCCCGATGCCACCTTGAAGGGGGTAAATCCAGTACTACTATGGATAGAATTGTTATATGCCACTTCAGCAAATGGCAATAGGTCAGCCCAATTATCTTGCTGATAATTTATGTAACATCTAAGGTATTGCTCCAATACCGCGTTAGTCCTCTCACAGGCCCCATTAGTTTGGGGATGGTGGGCGGAGCTTAATCCCTGGGCAGAGCCCAATAACTTCAGGAACTCCCTCCAAAAGTTCGAGGTAAATTGAACACCCGTCAGAGATTATGCGTTCAGGAAACCCATGTAATCTATAGATATGCAATATAAACAGTTTAGCCAACGTTTTTGCAGATGAAATCTTTGAACAAGGTATGAAATGTACTTGCTTGGAAAACAAATCAGTTACCACCCAAATAACCGTGTTTCCCCCGCTTTCGGGTAATTCCACTATAAAGTCCATAGAGATTTCCTTCCACGGAGCCATTGGTCTAGCCACATTTTGTAACAAGCCTGCTGGCTTACCAGGAGGTCTCTTGGCTGATGCACAGATAGAACAGCTAGCCACATAAGTCTCAATGTCCTTCTTCAAAGTAGGCCACCAGAATTGCCGCTTAACTAGGTGTAAGGTTTTCACGAATCCAAAGTGACCAGCCGCTTTAGAATCATGAGCTTGTTGTAAGATTTGGCTCCTCAGTTTCTCTGGCACATACAACTTGGCTCCCACCCAGGCCAGTCCATCTCTAACTGTACAGTTATTCGAATGAGCCAGGAACCAATCATCAAGTTTTAGAGCATCCTTTAATTGTGCAGTCAAATAATTCGATAGATCCACTTCCTTCTTCTTCTTTTGGGCTCTAGTAACTACTGGAGCTGCCAACTGTTCGATTGGGACAATCGACCGTACTACTTCCTGGCGAGCACTATTATATTGAGGTAGTCTAGATAGAGCATCCACCATGAAGTTCCTCCCCCCTGGAATGTACTTCAATGAAAAATTAAACCGCTTAAAGTACTGAGCCCAGCGAACTTGTTTGGGGGACAGCTTCCGAGGCGTTTTTAAGGCCTCCAAATTCTTATGGTCAGTCCACACCTCAAATGGGTGTTTTGCTCCTTCCAAGAAATGTCTCCAAGTCAGTAGGGCCCAAAGAACTGCAAAAGCTTCTTTTTCCCATACGGCCCACCTTCTTTCGGTTTCAGATAATTTACGGGAGGTATATGCACAGGGTTGTAAAATCCCCTTCTCATTGATTTGCAGCAATACCGCTCCAACTGCCACATCACTCGCATCGGCTTGGATTACGAAAGGAGCATCCATGTCCGGGTGCTTTAGCACTGGTTCAGCAGCAAACAGTCGTTTCAGCTTTTCAAAGGCCGCTTGACATTCCATGGACCACTCCAGTGGTTTACTAGGCTTTGGTTTTGCCTCCCCTTTGGTTTTTAGGAGGTTTGTGATAGGCAGTGCTATCTTTGCAAAAGCCAGGATAAATTGTCGGTAAAAATTGGCGAATCCCAAGAAACTCTGAAGTTGTTTTCTGGTGCGTGGGGGGGCCCATTCCAACACGGCACGCACCTTCCCTGGATCCATTTCTATGCCCTCATGTGAGATGCGATACCCCAAATTGTCAATTTTCTCCTGATGGAATTCACATTTGGACAATTTAGCATACAACTTAGCAGCTTGGAGTTTCTCTAAAACTGATCGCACTAGTTTCACATGTTCATCCCAAGTCTCCGTGTAGATAAGGATATCACCAAGGTAGACCAAAACCCCCTTGTATAAATGTTCATGTAAGTCCTGATGAATCATCTGCATGAATACTGCTGGGGCCCCCTGTAGGCCAAATGGAAGAACACGGAATTGGAAACAACCTATCAGGCAGTTAAAAGTGGTTTTCCATTCGCCCCCTTCCTTAATTCGAACCCGGTAGTACGCTTCTCTCAAGTCGAGCTTCGTAAAAATCTTCCCCTTGGCCAGGTGGGCCAGCATGTCCTTCATCAGGGGGAGGAGGTACACGTTTTCCACGGAAATGGTGTTCAGGTTTCTGTAATCAACATATAAGCGAAAGGAGCCATCTTTCTTTTCACGGAACAGTACTGGGGCCGCTACCCGGGGTCTAGCGGGCTGGATGAAACCACGTGCCAAATTTTTATCGATAAACAACCGCAGCTCTTCTAATTCCCGCAGTGTCATCGAGTACAGCTTCGGTTTCGGGAGTTTCACCCCAGGTAAAATTTCAATACTACAATCTGTTGAACAATGAGGAGGAAGTTCATCTGAGGCCTTCTCACTGAATACTTCCTTTAAGTCCCAATATTCCTCTGGAATTTTCTCCTCCCCCTTCAGTTCCTCGGTACCCGTGGAAGCTAAGTCAATAGGATTCTGGAGTTTCAGTTGAGATCGCCCCTCCCCTTCCGGGTGCTGGTCGGTACGTATACGCAATGACCCTCTTCTCCAATTGACGTGGGGGTTCCATTTCCGGAGCCAGGGAAATCCCAGTATTAGCGGCTGTTCCATCCCAGGGGCCACAATAAAACACAGAGTCTCTCTATGCTTCCCCATTGTCATTCCTATGGGTTCCGTTATGAAACGTGCAGGCCCGCCCCCCGCCACTGATCCATCCAATTGGCAAAAGGCTATGAGCGTTTTTAAAGTTTTTAGTCTTAAGCCCATCTTCTGTACTATTTCCGGGCTGATCACACACCTTGTGCACCCAGAGCCTAGCAAGGCCGGCATTTCCCCTTTGGCCCCCGATGCGGGTACCCTTAACTGCACTGGAATGGTCATAGGGCCCTTGTTTGGACTTACCAATGAGTCGTCTTCCGAATCGACCTCACTCTCTTCAGAGGAGGTCGGAGTTACCAGCCCCTCTCCCTTCGGATGGGTGACCTCTACAACCTCTCCCGTCTTAAGCGTCGTTTCGCGAGGCTTCGCTGGGGTTTTTTCCGGTTTTTTTCCTCCTCTTGGCGCCCCCTTTGGTTCCAACTTGGCCCAGCAGTCTGCAGCCCGGTGACCTTCCTTCCCACATCGGAAGCAGACAGTAGTCTTGAGTCTCGCTGCCATCCCTCCCTTTTGGGGTTTGAAGGCTTCTTGAAGACGTGCAGGGGAGGGCTTGCTCCAACCAGAGCCTCCCCGGCGTCTTTTTCGGGTTAAATCAATTTCCACCTCTGCTGCCAGCACGTACCGCATCTGCAGATCATTGGGGTCTCTTCTGGCAATGCAGCTCTGGTATATATCTTCATTTAACCCATCTTTGAACGCTTTTATCAGGGCTACTTGGGACCAGCCTCGAATATGACACTCCAGCTCTCTAAATTCCTGGGTGTAGTCGGCCACTGATCTCCGCCCGATTTATGGTCTTCATCCTAATCCTGGCCTTACGTTCCGCCAGTGGGTCCTCAAACCTTGCCGCAGCGCAGTCATGAACAGGTCATAATTCAACAGCTGGGGAGCATTATCATTATGCAAAGTCACCATCCACTTTGCAGCTGTTCCCTCCAGAGCCCTGGTAACACATCTAACCTTGGCTGCTTCTGAGGAAAAATCCCCTCCATATTCTTCCATATAGCTCCAAACTTGTGCTAGGAAAAATCCCAACTCTTTGGGATCCCCCCCATATTTTACTTCCAACGGAGGCAACTTTGGAGTTCTACGTTTTCTGGCAATTACTCCTCCCATTGGGGGCCCCGGGGCTGCTGCTTGCTGTTGCGGTAGCCCAGGTTGATTTATGGGGATGGCTGCTCTGCTTCTTCTGGCTGGGGCTGCCTCCCCCTCCTCTCCCTCATACCTTTGTTCAGTGTGAGGCTCTCCGAGGGCTTCATCTATGAGACGCCTGGCTTGATTTAGTAAAAAGTCTTTCCTTTCCCTCTCTTGCCATGGCTCCTCTCTTCCAAGCCGAGGGGTAGTGGTGACTCCTGGGGAGGGCCCTCCTCAGGATCCTTCCAACCTACTCCCAATGACCATTTGGGTTTTACAGCTGGTTTTTACCGAAGGTTGAGCTCTGCTAACAAGTCAGCTTCCCTTGCTTCCTCTAGCAGCAGCGAGTCTTGCCCTCCAATGGCACCCAGGTCCTCTTGGTCGCTGGCTGGAGTTGACATGATGTTCAGACCCCCTCGGAAGAAATTGTATTATCTCTCCGGGTGGGCTGGTAGGGTGAGATTCAGAATAATGTCAGCTGGTGCTCCGTTCAAAATCCAAGAAAGAAATATTTAGACTCTTGTAATTAGAGAAAAATCTTTTACTGGAAGTCAAGTGGTAGCAACAAGAGAATTCTGAATCTGAGGAAATAGGCACGTACATCACATATATCAAGGGATTGAAATGTTCCCACCCCCAATAGTTCAAACAGTTCTTCCAATTAAAAATTGTGAACCTCATCATGTGGACATCTTCAGGTGGTGATGATTAGTTGACCTTGGCTTACTCAGATAAAGGTTTGCAGTTGCGCAGAGAAGAGATAGCTAAGCAAGAAATAGAAACCCTCCTCAAGTTTATACAATATTAGTTAGTAACACCTACAGCCCGTTTCCCATACTTTTCCCCCTTCCTCCCCCCATTACTCATGACAGCCAGAAAGAAGATCTTGAAGGACAGGCAGGTTGAAGCACCCCTGAAGCCCTAAGTGTGGGTGAGCTGCCAAGGGCCCAGATTTTTGGAGGAATCTTTAGACTGGGATTTACAGTAGTTTGGGAGCTCCAAAGATGTTCTGTTTTCAGACTGGCTTTCAGAATTTCTCTTCTGAACTTTCCTAAAACAATTAATTAGAGCTTCTGACATACAACAAATACCAAACAACACTTCCCCCCGCCTCTTTCTTTTTTTCCCCTTTCTTTTGGGTGGGGAGGGAGATGGCTTATAATACCACATTTAATCATCTGTACTTTTAAAAATGTGAATCTGGATCTTGTGTCTTGAGAAATCCAACAGAATTCCAAAGCATCTACAGTTACCATTCACCAATCCTATTATCAGTCCTTTTCTTACAGAAAGGTTACTTTCTGCTTACTGCAGTTACTTTCTCCAGCCCGAATGACTATGCCGTAACTGGCATTCTTTTGCACATTGCTCTGCTCATGGAATGGGAGACCTCCCTACTCAAGAACCGCTTCTCCTTTACATGACTTGCTCACTTGTCACAGAAGGAATGATCTGCAGAGTTCTGGCTTACCAGGATCAACCAATGATTTGTTAAATATTTCCTTCAGTTTTCTGCTCTTCACATTCCTCCCTTGTGCAAGGTTACGATACATTTCGTAGCCTATGATCATGACGCCGCCTTCATCCTGCCACCTTTGCAACATAAAGCCCCTCTCTTGAGGGCGTTTCACGGTTGCTAGTTCAGCGACCTTGGGAAAGCAAGCAAATAAGTGATTTTTTATTTTTTTATAAGTCAACGTGTAATTGTAATGTGCTTTCCATGTATAAATGTGTATCATACACTCAAAGTCAAGAAGTTCATACTTCCAAACATCAATTTACTGTTCCTAAATGCAGATACACTTCACCTATCCATATTACACATTAAGTACCTCAAGTTTTTCATCGTCTTCCAGGCCTTCTTGCCATTTTTCAAATTCATTCATCCAGTTGAGGGCTGTGTTCAACGGGCACACAACAAGGGCAGTTCTGAAATCCAGTTTGTCACTAAGCAAAATGGTATGAAGGAAACTAACTACCTTCAAAAGAAAGGCAAGAAAATCAGCATTAGAACAAAACTGCACCTGGGTAAAAAAAAAAAAATTAAACAAACAAAAAATCTGAGACAGAACATGAATTATTTTTTAAAAAACAAAAAGAATATTTTGATGTACTTAGTGTGAGATCACAACTTTCTTCTTCCATTAATTTGCTGAGAATATTTACTATAGTTTCTAACTAATAACCAAATGGTTTTGTCCCCTTTCCATTTTTCTTGATTTTAGGTAACCCATTTTTAGCTACCATAAGTTGTATGCAGCACACAAACTCAAAATATACCATGTTTTTGGTATAGGAATGAACAAGGAATTAGGTCTGGTTCCTAATGAAGTTACTGAGAAAGGGAACATATGTTCCTCAGAAATACTTTTAACCGTTTGTGTTTGTGTGTGTGTATACCTATATACATACATACACACATAGTATGTATGTATATGTTTAAGTGTGTATGTATGTATGTATATGTAAGTATGTATGTATATATGTAAGTTTGCTGTATATATCGGGCAACTGCCTAGACAAGGCCCTGCAGTTTTCTTGGCAAGACTGGTCTGAAGTGCTTTGCCACTGCATGCTCCTTAGGGCTGAAATGAAGTGACCGGCCCACGGTCACCCAGCCAGCTTTGTGACTAAAGCAGAAGTAGAGTTTACAACCTCCTGACTCCTAGTCTCTAACCATGACATGAAACCAGATCTCTTTTTTGTGTCTATCATCTGCCAATTCTCTCCTTTTTCTATGATCCCAAACACCTCCTTCCACTCGTGCTGCTTCCCCATGTTTTCAAATCAGAAAGGATTTGATGCAGAAGGAATGACTTTCAAAGATAGTTGAAGCAAACCCTTGGGGTGTAATTGACAGGTGTTCTGACCAGCACTGGGGAGTCAAATTCAAGCCCAACCAGAGTTTAACTGAGCGACCTGACAGATCATTCTTTCAACTTATCCCACCACGGGATTCTTCTGAAAACTGAATTTCAGTCCACTCCATTCCATGAAGTAGCTGAATTCCCGAAGAAAGTGTAGTAAAGGTATCCAAGCTATTCATTCCTCTCTCCAGGAATTATATATAGCAGCAGTAGGAACATGCATTAGGTAACTTGGACACGTTTCACCAGGTTTCACAAGACATGATCAACTTTTGCTGGAAGAAGCTGGAGGGAGCAAAGGCCCATCGTAGCCAACAGATCCTTCAACATACCTGCAAGGTCTTTCCCAAACCCATACAGTGGGCCAGAATGCATCCAGAGCCTGAAGATTTCTTGGTTTTTTTCAGAGATTCACAACAGCAATCCCACATGAACTGAACACCTAGAAGCAAGTGTTTTTAAAAAGATCCTTTAAAATTCAACAATGGGCTTATTTTTGGCTCTGAAGTGCAAGAGCTGTAATAGAACACTGTAACCATAGAAGACAATATTCGTAGCTCAGGGTTGAACTTTGGGGTCCTTGGTGCATTCTGAGCTTGGTGGTTTTCTTGCAGGCATTTCATTGCCAAACCAGGTAACACAATCCATGCATTGATGATGTTCCTAATTTAGGTATGAAACGTCTGCAAGAAAGCCACCAAGCTCAGAGAGCACCAAGGACCCCACAGAACATTATAATGTGGCTCTAACCAATAGGGGGATTCAATTTTTTTTACTACCGGTTCTGTGGGCTTGGTGGTCATGTGACTGGGTGGGTGTGGCTGAGTGGGCATGTGACTGGATGGGCGTGGCCAACTTGCCATCACTCACGTCAAAGTGCCTGGCCTGGCCTCAAAGGCCTCATAGAGATACAAATTTCCCTATCTATTTATTTACTACTACTGAACATCCAAAATACACTATTTAATCCTATATATATGTATATGCCATATGTATACATACATATTATATAGTATAGTGTGTGCATAGGCACCCAAAAAGATACATTATCTACTATATATACTGTATGTGTATGTACACACACACACACAGCTGTTTTAAAACTATACACATTCAACCTCATTTACTGCGTTTGGAAAAACACACCCAGAGTCCACTTTCTACCACACATTTAACTATAACTTCTGTACATTAGAACATTGCACACGCCTTCAGATTGACTTCCCTAGCCTGCACATGACTGTTAGACCCAGGAGATGTCATGGATTGAGTAAAATATGGTGAAACTCACTTAGCAATGCTCTTGCTTTGCAACCCAAAACTTGGGCTCAATTGTGGTCATAAGTGAAGGACTATCTCTGCCTTCCTCTGCATGGCAGCCTTGTCCTAGTAAACTCCTTCCCTTTTATGGCAATTTTCCTCTCTGTTAGAGGCATCAAAATAATCCAGACGATATAAGGTCTCCTGCTGGAGCAGGGGGTTAGACTACATGGCCTCCAAGGTCCCTTCTAACCCTGCTATTCTATGATTCTGTAAGGATCTCCTGCTGGAGCAGGGGGTTGGACAAGAAGATGACCTGAGATCCCTTCCAGGCCAGCCCTAGATTGCTGTGCTCTTTCAAAGAGTCTTCTGAAGCCAGCGTTTGTGGTCCTTCCTTCCTCTCCTTTTTTTCCCTCCCTCCCTCCCTCCATGTATCTTATCCATCCATCCACCCATCCATCCAACTATATCTCATTCATTTTCTTCTCCCTCCCCCCCTCTTTCTTTCTCTTCCTTCCTTCCATCCCTTTCTTTCTTGTCTATCCCTTTTCTTTCTTTTTTCTTTCTGTCCCTTTTCTTTCTTGTCTATCTCTTCTCTCTCTCTCTCTCTCCCTTCCCTTCCTCCTTCCCTCTCTCCTTCTAAAGCTAGGAGACCCACCTTAAACAAAAACTCCTTTGGATGAAACCGGCCATTACTATCCGGCTTATTCAACCCAAAACACACTCTCTCTCTCCCTCCCTCCCTCTCTCTGCTTCCAACCAAACCCGCAGCAGCACAGGAGGGGCCGGTGTGCACATGGCAGCCAGGAAGGAAGTGGCAGCCCCAAAAGCTGAGATATTTGCAGGGGACGTAGGAACTTAGTTAAGCTGCTTGGCAGGCTGTGACATTGGGGAGGGAAAGAACAAGAGATGGGGAAAGCGGAGCTTCTTGCAGCTTTTCGCTGAGCCTCCTTGCAGCAGGGACTGGGACGCCTCCTCCCTCCCTCCCTCCCTCCTGGCAAGGACAGGAGTGGCTGTGGGGGGTGGGGGAGGAGCCTTCAGCCGATTCCGCAAACGGAACCAAAAGTTAACTGGCTGAATACCACCACTGCCTGCACCACTTCTAACAGAGGTCCCGTCTCCTCTTCAAAGCTTCCAGGGATGGAACTTCCACAACGTCTGAAGGCCAGCGGATTCATGGGCTGATGGCTCTCACAGTCAGACGATGTGAGAAAAGCAGCCGTTCAGGTTTGCCCTATAGGTGCCCTGGGAAAGCTCGCTAGGTTTCCATCTGGATGTATTCAGCCCTGCAGCAGAGTTTCCTGTGGGCAATGCAACGGGGGTGGGGGTGGGGGGTTAGGGTCACACGGTCCCTGTACACACATGTGAGAGGGAGCATTTTGCCAAAACTCAGGCGAGTGGCCAAGGCAGGCAGAGGAGGCAACCGGGGAGGAAGGCAACCGGGGCAACCGAGGCCAACGGGCGAAGAAGAGCTGAGCCTGAAGGCAGGCGTGAGTGGGAGGGGTGGGGAGGGAAGGGAAGGGGCCAGTTAGTGGTACGATTTGCCCGTTTCCCGAGCTGCCCATCATCGTTGCTACGGGTTCAGGAGAACCGGTCCGAATCGGCCGAGTACTCCCTGACTCTAACCTAATTGATTCAAAACATACATTTCCTAAATCTAACATTTTAAAATAAAAATTGTCATGCCACCTTACCATCTACTTGATGAGGTTTAAGCTTTGTCACTATGTTTCGATGAACTTGCAGCAATGGTTCTTTGGTTTCTTCATCTTCATCTAAAACCAGCTTAGTTGTAATTGGACATTTCAAATGTGTATCTTCTAGTTCTATCACCTGGAAATATTTTGAAGGATAGGTCCATTTAATTCAAGATATTCAACTTTCAAGCTACACTGAAGGCAAATATACATCGAGAGCTACAGACAAACAGAGGGCTTCTTTCAGGTCCCATTTAAGTTGGAGAAGAACTCATGAGGCAATTCAATGGGACCTATTCCCAGACAAGGGCTCCCCCTTTTAAATTAAAGAGTGGGAATTGCATTGTACTTTCTGCATACTTGGGAGTTGCTAAGCACATCCATAACAAATAAATACATTTAAGTCCATGCATTTATGATTCAAGATTAAAAAAACCTTTTTCTTTATTTGCAAAAATCTGACAAAAACAAAATCTGGCCGTAACAAAATATGTGCCTCAGAAAACTATAACAAAATAGGTTTGCTTAACGGGCAAATCACAACTGAAATCTTCTGGGCATTTATCTGTCCTAAATGAAAGCTTAGAAATCTCTTTGTCAATTATTTGTTTTTACTAACTTCAAACTGAAGTGCTCTAAAATGTTGCAGATACAACTCTGAGAACATACGGAATATTATTAACTCTGGAAAGGTATTGCTGAACCCTAAGAGCAGGCAGCATCATGCCCAATGCAGAGCACAGAGTCCTGGTTTGCCATGGCAGGGGGGAGGGGGGGGAGAGAGGAGAAGAGATGGGAACTTATTCAAAGCTATAAGATAAACAAAGCCTCGTGTTCCAGAAATTCTCAAGGGATTGTTCTGGAGACGGCGTGTGGAATTATAAAATCCTACTAAGGAAAGGGCAAAAGCTCAGAAAGTAAGATAAGAATTAACTGCCCAAATTATAAAAGAAGAAAGCATATTCTTTTTATCCCGGCACTTTATTTTACCTGCTTTCAAGAGAGATTCCTCTGTGGATCTGCTGCTCCCAAACAATGGGTTAAATATTTTGGTGCTTTATTTAGTGATAAAGATGTCAACACAGGATATTTGCCTTGAAAAACATTTGTTTCTGAATCTCTTAACTTTTTAGATGGATGGATGGATGGATGGATGGAT